ACAAATGGTCAACATAGGAAAAGTTGCTCAACATCTCTATTCTCAGAAAAATGCAAATCAAAATCACAGTGAGATATAACTTAATTCCAGTGAGAATGGCTTTTATTAAAAAGTCCCAAAAGTACAAATGTTAGCATAGATGCGGAGAGTTCGGAACACCAATACACTGCTGGTGGGACTTCAAATTAGTACAACCTCTATGGAAAGTAATATGGAGATACCTCAAAGAACTAAAAATAGAACTACTACCATTTGATCCAGCAATCCCACTACTGGGTACTTGCCCAAAGGAAAAAAAAAGACATTCTATAATAAAGACTTCTGCACTCAAATGTTTATATTATAATAACAGCACAATTCACAATTGCAAAGATGTGGAATCAACCAACCCATGTGCTCATCAATACTTGAGTGGATTAATAAATTGTGATATATGTATACCATGGAGTACTACTCAGCCATAAAAAACAATGGTGAATTAATACCTCTTGTATTATCCTGGATGGAGCTGGACCCCATTCTTCAAAGTGAGGTATCACATGTACTCACCATTAAATTGGCACTAGTTGATCAATACTTATGTGCACATATGGAAGTAACATTCACTGGGTGCCAGGCAGGTGGGAGAGAGGAGGAGGGGATGGGTAAATTCACACCTAATGGGGGTGGTGTGCACTTTCTGGGGGATGGGGATGCTTGTAGCTCTGAGTTGGGTGTTTCAAAGCCAATATATGTAACCCAAGGGTACCCCCACATTATTCTAAAATTTAAAAAAGCATGCCTACTATTAATATTAAATAAATAAATACAAAATAAAGGTGAGTTTGCCACAAAATAAGAATTCAAAAATACACCATAGCAGGATGCTGCAGAAGGTAGTAAGAGACAGATAAGTTAGTGTTGGGACAAGATTGACCACAAATAGATATGAATTAAATTTTTGTAAGCAATAGCAGTGGATAAAAGTTTGCACAAAAGGCACTCATTTTGAATAACAGGAATGAAGTAGGAAATAAATATGGAGAGGAACTTGAACCACTTTAACGAATGAGGGGACAGGAAGAACTTCTGTGTTTATTGAACTGATCAGCCCTGAAATTCCATCAATAGTGAATGACTTATGTTAAATAAACATTGTAGCTTTTTGGACAGCTGCCAGAAAAAGCACCTGACACTAAGATCTGTGCTGTCTTGATGTTGACGAAAAAGAATTTTTTAATGATGGAAGAAAGGCATCATATCACAAATTGGAATATTTTCCATTTGCAAGAGCACTACCCATGTGAACAAGACTACTCCCTTTACACTTTCCCATGACTCCAAATTGTCCTGGAATCCTCAAGCCAAGAAGAAGAGAGTTGCACACACAATACACATAATTATTTGAGTCTCTCTTATAAACACCACCTGTATAACAACTTGTAAATTATTTCAGCTGTGCTTTTCCCTGTCACTAACATGTTTGAAATTACCCTTTCCTTGCTAATGGCAGAAAAATGATCATAGCATGTTATTCTTAATTTCCCCAGGGAAGACATGTGACTGGTGATACTTTAAATTTGAAACCAAAATGATTATGTTGCTAGGGAGTACCATGGAAAACATACATAAATTAATTTCATAAAAAATATTGTGAAGCCAAGTTTTTAGATACCTGATTTGGAAAAATAATTTAATGTTTTTGCTTTGGGAAAAGCACTTAAATGTGATTTAGTTTCATCAAATTAAACCAATTTCTTATATTGTTGCTGTTAAACATTTGGAGTCTGGGGTTGTGGGAGGAAGAAGATAAATAATCGAACATTCATTTCAGAATCTGTTATGTATTTGGCCCTAAGCTAGGTGCTTCAAATATTCTATGTCTGTTAATCCTCTTGTAGGATCTAATGTACATTAAATTATGATTCTCCACCTTTTACAGATGAAAAAATGAGGTTTAGCCAATTAAGTCAATTGATGAAGGTCATGCAGCTCAGCAGAATCAAGTTTTATAAATTCAGATAATTGAATTGGAAGTCTGTGTTCTTTCCACTTTACCATGCTACCTCCAAATTACAATTAACTCTAAACACAGACTTTAAAAATGGACCATACCTAGCTTTAAAAGAGCATAACTTACATCTATCTGCTCCATCTCTCTTTAAAGAGACTCTTCCACCCACGTGTCACAACTGTAGGGGACACGTAAACATCAAGGAGCCTAGGTTAGAGAACTCTCTCTCTTCCCTCCTTTTTCCAGGTGATCTCTGCAACCAGATTACCCTGTTCTCACTCAGCAGGCATGAATCCAATCCCATGTTCCATAAAAGTGAAACTACTAACTCTAAGCTTCCAAGGATACTGTTCTATTTTGAGCAGCACCTCAACTTTATTCTCATAAAAAAGCAGAAAAATTGTATCTACACAAAAAGCCTCTAGTCTTTAACAAAGCTATATAGGTATCTCAAACTGCAGTATGAATAGTAAAATATGAAAAAAATATATTATTTACCCAACTCTGCCCATTTTCTAAGTAGACAATATACAGTCTGTCAAATATATTGTTAAATGCACAATACTAGTAAAAGTAAATCATACTATTACTGTTGCCACCGGACAAAATTCTTAATCCTGTGATATTTTTCTGATCTCTGAGAATTGTTCTTCATACCATTCCTAATGTCATTATTCTAGTAAGTTTTATACATAGACTACTGAAATAACCTCTGATAATCTTCTCTTTGCAAATCTATCTCCCTGACATTATTTTTCATGTTGTAGACATTATACTTTATTAAAAACTTTCAGCATATATTTTCATTTAGTCTTTACAGCAACCCAAATTTTATGGATGGATATGTTGCTATGCGACTTAGTATTCCTAAGAACACATAGTTTGAGAAGGACAGATTTAGGAGAGGAACCCAGGTCTTCCTACCCTGAAGCTAGCCTGCTTTCTGTTTTATTACCAATACCCCATCCAGTGGTAGATTTTTCTTAATTCAGTGCTCTATTCATGTTTACACTATTGATCAAGGACTCTTCATATAAATGACCCAAATTAAAGGGGGAACTATCAATGGGCTCTAGATTTAGGCTGCCTAGATATGAATCCTGGCTCCACCACATGCTAGCTGTGTAAGCCTTTGCAAGTAACTTAACCTTTTTGAACCTCAGTTTCATTATCTGGGAGATTAGGACAATAGTACCTTCCTAATCTGATCATTGTGAGAAGGAAATTAATCAATATGGTAGTCTATCTTGCACAAAGCTGCTAGGGTTAGCCTTCTAAAGAATACCTATCAGTGTTTTCCTACTCAGTAATCTTCACTCACCCTCCATTGCCTATTAAAGAAAGCCCAAACTTTTTAACTTAATACTTAAGGATTATGACCTATGGTGTAATGTATCATGTTAACATTACACCCTAGTACTCCTTGTCATATGTCTTCCCTGCCATACAAATCAAACCACTATTCCTGAAACCCCAAATATACTTTCCCAAATCCATAACTTTGTTCATATGATTCCCTCTCCCTAGGATGTTATCTTCACGCAATACCACATCACCACATATGGAAATTCTGCCCATTTCAAAACCCAGGTCAATTTCCTCCTTATCAACAAAGCCTTCCTTGAAGTTGCAGATGAAATTAATTTCTTCTCTCTTTTTTTCCCAGAGTATGGTTTTTCTTTATTTATGACAGACAACATTTTGCTTTGTGTTATCTTTTCTGTTTTAGGCCATTTTCTCCTATTAGAGGAAACTAAGGCAAAACAAATTAAGGATTAGATTTAGCTGTATAAAACTGTTGATATTTGACCAATTTTGACATATAATATGACAATTTCAAATGATTTAATCTAATAAAATGACTCATTTATGGTCATTACTAATCCATTTAAGATATAAGGCCTTTTTCTTAGATTGGAAAAACACGGATTTTAAATTTTTATAGTACTTTTTGACTAATATGGCCAAAGTATATACTACAAAGTTACAGTCCTTATAAATAAACTCAGGTATATTTAATATAAAATAATCAAAGTCTTATGTAGGCAGGTTCCTCCCTTATTTTATCTTGTTCTTTTCTTTTGTCTTTAAAAGTTACTTATGAAAGAGGTCAATTTGAGATCTAAATAAATACAAATGATGGTAGATTTTCCATTGTTATAGTTGTTATTTTTAGTTTGACCAAAATCTTTTTTCTTTTAACACTTCTATACCAGATGTTTACAATGCTTCAAAGTCTTCATAACATAAATTAGTCACTGAGGATTATATCCCATATTTTTCATTGGCAACTAAATTTTATTTCCTATTTTGTTGATGTAATATACAATAGAATATATAAATATTCTGACTTGAGTTAGTATAATAGATTCTCAAAGAAGACCTATAGGAGGTAATTACCAGATTGTGAAATGTGACCACTAACCGTTACCATAGAAAATATCATTTCCAATTAATTATTCATTTAAATACCATACCTCATGAAAATATTTAATGTTGCACAACTGTTGGGCCCATTTTAGAACTGAGGATGAGTTAGAAATTAGGTATTCATTAACCAGTTCATAACTTACCTCAGAGATTTAATAGATTGCTGGATATAAATTGTTTTGCCTTCTGATAGGAGATGAAAAAATTTGTTTTAAAAATGCTATAACAAAGCAAAAATACCAGTGATATAATTCCTCAATATTTTGAGGATAATTCTTTCTTTCTTTCTTTCTTTCTTTCTTTCTTTCTTTCTTTCTTTCTTTCTTTCTTTCTTTCTTTCTCTTTCTTTCTTTTCTTTTTTTTTACAGATGAGGTCTCACTATGTTGCCCCGGCTGCTCTCAAATTCCTGGGCTCAAGCGATCCTCCCACCTCTGCCTCCCAAGCAGTTGGAATTATAAGCACACATGATGGTGCCTGGCTCTTTAATGAAAATTCTTGTGGGTACCTTTATAGTGGTGTGAGAAGGGTTCAAGCATGTTATTCCAGTTTGATAAGGAATCAGCTGATTGATATTACCTGCTCATGAATCTGGCTCAATCCACCATGGCACATTTCATTTCCAATGTTTGTAGAAGTTAAATCACTTCCTGTGGTGGTTTGGATTTGCTGGCTAGAATAGGACTGTTGACAGTGTGGAGAGTGGATGATCTGGGGCTGTTGGACAATGTGATGATGGCATTGGACCTCAGGATGACATTCCTAAGACACACACACATGCCAAAAACAACCACCGAGAATAAAAATTACCAATCAAGAAAAAGCACCTGAAAATATTTTTAAAAATGTAATGTATTCTTTCACTATAATTCAAACTCTAGTATTTATAGTTTTAATTGGTGATATATTATTTTCCAAATTATTTCATTGGGAAAATTTGTATTAAATTCCATTTTTATTTGATCAACTAGTTGTGACCATCCAAATACTTACCAAAATTGGCCAAGGAATTGCATGTTTTGATTAAATTAATATTCCAATTATACTTAACACTAAAACTATAATGAATATTAATATTTCCTTTTTTAACAGCATAATTTATGTATTTATTTTTAATTTCAGAATATTACAGGGGTACACACATTTTGGTTACATGATTTGTTTTTGTACAGTTTGAGTCAAAGTTATAAGTGTGCCCTTCACCCACATAATGTGCCTATTCTTTCCTCCCCCTTCCCACCTATTTGATTTCCATTGAGTTTTACTAACATATGTGTAGATAAGTGTTGATCAATTAGTTTCAATTTAGTATTGAGTACATGTGGTGTTTGTCTTCCCATTCTTGAAATACTTCACTTAGAAGAATGGTCTCCAGTTCCATTCACTCCAATATTTATAGCAGCACAATTTATAGTTACAAAGATGTGGAACCATCCCAAATGCCCAACAATACATGAGTGGATTAATAAAATGTGATATATATATAAATATATACCATGGGGTACTACTCATCCATAAAAAATAGTGATCTATTATCTTTTATAACAACTTGAATTAATCTTTCTTTGATGATTCAACAGGCACGTCAGCATATGATTACCTAATAATAATACTGAAGATGAAGATGAATATAAAATTAGAAAATAATATGATACAGTGATTTTCAATGTCAGGAATCATATCAGAATAACAGTGGGGATGCAAAGTTCTCATGCTTATGAAACATGAGCACGAATTTTTAAAAAAGATTAAAAACCAATGACTGAAGCTTCAAGTCCAGAAAAAATGGATTTTAACTCTGATTCTACCACTTACTTTATGATCTTAGGAAACTGTATATGCATCCTTTATGAACCTCAGTTTCCTCATTTGTAAAAGTGGACATAGTGCATATCTCATTTGGGTGCCATGAGGAGTAAATAAACTAATGTCTATAAATTACCTAGTACAAAGTAGGTGAGTAATAAGCCTTGCTATTATTATTACATCATCGTCATCATCAACTTTATCATCATCTACCCCACTTAATTTGTAGGTGAAAAAAAAAATGCTGAGGTCCAGAAAGATAAGATGATTTACTTATAAAGACACAGCTAATTTATGACAAAATTGGGACTGGAACTCATGATTTCTAGCTTACACTTCTTTCAGGATATTAAGCTGAATTTGTACTGACCTCAAAATATTCTGGAATTTGTTGTTCTTAAACTAAATCCCTGATATCTGCTTGTTTATTTGTCATGGCTTTTTTAATGATAAGTATACAGAACAGATTAAGAAAAGACACCTGCGTATTTTAGTTTTAGGGATTTCAAGTAGGCTCGGATTGGCTTATATTATTTTGTTATTATTCTACTGTGATAAAAAGCATCTGGAAGCCTGTTTTCAAAGGAAAAATACTCTTTTTTGAACCATAATGCCACCTGCATGCACATACAATTAACTTTGAAAGTGTAGATTCAATGCTCTCTTTCCTTTTGATTATGGAAAGTTAATTTTATTAACGTAGTAAAGCACTTTGCATTTTAAATTTTCATATGAAACAATTTTCAAGGTATATTAAATGGAAAAAAACAAAGTACAGAAGAATGAACATAGTATACTCCTTTTGGTGTAACATCTAAAAAATATACACACATATGTATTTACAAACACATATGATATGCATATATTCATAGAGCAAAAAACTTATGAGTGGCTGATTCTCAGAAGACAAACTGGGGATTAGAGAGTCCAGATAAGGAGGCTTATTTTTCATAGTATATCTCTTCATACTCTGAAAAAATTTTACCATGAATAAAAATTAACTTTTCATATATACAAAAAATATTTTGAAATAAAGACAAAATTCATAAAGAAACGCATTTTACAAATAGAAATTGCCTTGGTAGACATATAGATAATAAAGGTCAGAGAATTAGTTAATGAAATCATTTTCTCTGTGCTTTTCAAATATGACTCACTTTACAAGTACACTAGCACTTAGATCTTTACAGTTTAGGAAACTAACTGTATGCCATCAGTAACTTTCATACAAATTTTGAAGGTGAATGAATGTTATATTATTGTCTTTTATGTTACAAACTATCTTCATATACTGAATTAGGGTAAAATCACACTGACAGTCTGAGAAAACTATCACTAAATGGGGAGCTTGTACACTATTGAAATAAAATCCCCTCTGAAGAAGAAAAAAAAAACAATGTATTCCTCAAAAATGCAAGTTAGGAAACACTTGGAAAGGACACATCAACAGAGGGCAATAAAGAAAACAAAATTGATTCTTAATCATCTTCCTTTGTTAATATATCAGTTGACTCTTTAATAAAATGCTGACATTCGCAACATCTGGGGTGCCTTGCCGCTTCCCTGAGCCTATTTGGCCTCCAAACCATTCATTGGTACCACTGAAATCTTAGCAGGTTCTCAATTTTTGAATGTTACACCTGACTACTAAAGTCATTGTTCTAAAGCAAGATGTTTGTATATTAATCATAGTTTTGAAGTATGTCATAAGCTGAATTTCCAAAGTACAAAAGATCAAATATTTCTGATTTATCATAGCTTTTTCCTCTTTGGTAGACAAAAAAGAATTACATAGAGTATTTATCTTGCAACTGGCACCACTTTACCACCTTTCCACTATAAAGGGCTCTTTTTTCTTGGACGAGTCTCATTTGCTAAGAGCTAATCCTATTTGATTTAGTCACATGTGACAGTAAACAGGTTCATCTAGACTCTGGCTTTACTCAACTTGTCCTAGTTTATTTCCATCACTGAGGAAACTCAACCAGGACAAAGCAGTAGAAGTTTGTTCTACTGCATGGTTCCTTTTATCTTGGGCAGCTTCTGTGCTAGTTTCTAAACTCCCAAATTGTTAAAGTTATTAATAAGAAAAAGTGGGCACAAACAAACATTCAAGTTAGTAGTAAATAGTAGCAGTGTACTCTTACAGGAGCTCTTTTTTAATTGTTCCACATGCGTAACAATGGTAATGTACACAATATTTAATGTATTACTCTAGATTTTAAGAATTATAAAAGCTTTTTATTCTCTTTAAATAAAGAAACTGGAAGCAACATGAAATGATGTGCCTGAAATATTTCCTGGTATTTAAAATGTGTCATCTCCCATCCAAGTACTAACGAGGCCCGACCCTGCTTAGCTTCTGAGATCAGACAAGATCGGGCGCGTTCAGGGTGGTATGGCCGTGGAAACTCAGACTTGTGGGGAGAGGGGGGGAAAGGGCATTTATTGAAACCTTAAAATTTGTACCCCCATAATATGCCAAAATAAAAAAAAAAGTGTCAAATTTATTTTTGTGGCAGCCAGTTAGATAAAAGACAGATGTTGTAATTTGACAGCTTGAGGAAAACTTCCATTGAAGAATAGACATATTTGATGAAATATTTCTACTTGATATCATAAGGTCCAGAAATATTCTGCTATTCCTCTAGAATATATGTGTTGAACAAATACTATACCAAACCCTTTAGTTTATATCCAGTTTTCCAAGCAAACCAAAATCTTAAAGATTTAGTTGTTTATGATTCTGAGAGTTTACTCAATTTCATTTTTACTGGACATCAAATAATAATATGTTAGTTTCTATACATCTGGTAACAACTGTCTGTAAGTGCTCATAAAAATAAAATGTGTTTTCATGCCAAGAGGTTGAAAAATGAAAATCTAGTATATGAGAAAAATAATTGTGTTTTCAAAATTGACTTGATATTATTTGACTGCTTATTATGGGTTGGACTGTACCCCTCTCAAAGGTATGCTGGAATTCCTAACCCCTAATAACTCAGAATGTGACCTATTTGGAAATAGGGTCTTTATAGAAGTAATCAAGTTAAAATGAGGTCATTAGGGTGGGCCCTAATACAATATTATTGGTGTTCTTATAAAAATGGAAATTTGGACATAAACACAGGCATGCACAGAGAGATGATGTGAAGATATGCAAGGAAGGTGCCATATGGAGATGGATGATTGGCGTGATGCATCTCTACCTCAAGAAATGTCTGAGGCTGCCAGAAGCTAAGAGAAAAGCATGGAAGAGTTCCTTCCCAGGGGCTTCACATGGAGCATGGCCCTGCCCACACAGTGATTTCAGACTTCTGGCCTCTGGTACTGTGAGATAATAAATTTCTATTGTTTTAAGCCATACTGTTTGTGCTACTTTGTTACGGTAGCCCAAAGAAAGTTATACACTGCCCTAGTTCAAGAATGTCCAAGAGATAAGTCCAAGGCTTTGTCTGTATCGAACATGTTTATATCCACTGAGCAGAGCAATATGAAACATCTGCTGGTTACAGCAGCAACTCTGCATGAAGGACTTGGGGCTCTAGATGCCATAAAATTACCATGGCACTGTTGCTGCTATATACTTTGTACTTGGTCTTTCAATCTGAGCTTAATGTAATTTTTAAAATGTGACTTGAAGCTTTAGTTTTCTAGATTTTTTACAGTATACAGAATTTCACATATCTGTTCATACATATTGGCAATTTAAAATTTATTCTGTATTAAAAATTAGGAAAAAATTATAATGTTTTCAATTATGATTTTTGTAAGGCTAGTTTAAAAGAACACAAACAAGACATTGGGATATCTACACTAAGTTCAGATTCTGCCATTAATTTTCTATGTAACTTCACATATCTTGACTTCAATTTCCCTTTCAATAAAATGGAGATAATAATATTTCCCATAATAAAATGGATATGAAAGTACTAAGGATGGTACGAAGGGCTAAGTACATAATAACGTATTATAATAACTCATGGTAGTCTTGCCTGGCACTTGAAAATCAAATGTAATTTTAGCTCTATTAAAATATTCATCATTTAAAATTATATACTTATTAAACAAGTTTAAAAAAATTAATTACCTGATTCATATTTAGCTTCTCCACTTTTCTTATTGTTTTTTCATAAATAACATTGTTTCCTGGGAAGAAATGTCCTCCTCTTAGGAATGGAGACAGTGATTCCTATAAAGAGATTAAAGAATATGTTTTGTTTTGGAAGTTACCTTTTCAAAGGAACCTTAACTTAAGCAAATATCCAGTCTCTAATAGGCTCTGAGGTAGTGGCAGAGTTTAGGAGGAGGGCAGAATGACATCCTAATAATGTATTGACAGATGCAAGGAAATAGTAATAAAGACAGTTCACTTGATCAAAGTAAAAAATCTGGATTTCTCCTACTACATTTTACTAGGTCTAACAAAGTCTTTTGGGAAAGTTGGTGAGGAGTGGGAAAGACATTTTTTTTTTTCTGTTCCTAAAGCAAAACATAATGAGTTTCCTCTGAGATACACAAGCATGAGGTCAATCTCATTTAAATTGGGTTCCCTGGCAGGTTTCTTTGTATGCTAAAGTATTGTTGGGGAAATGCAAAATAAACATAATTCAGTACAACTAAGCCATAAAGTAGGTAGAATTATATTAAAGGTCTTTTTGTGGAACTCAATTTGGGTGCCCTTGAAGTGTACAATTCTTACTTATGATTATAAGGAAGGCTAAAACTCTCAGAACAACACGTTTTGAATACTGAGAAGAGAGTAGAGGCTTTAAGAGCCACTGTATCTCCACATAATCAACTAAATTGCTATAGGATTAGCCAAGTGCTTAGAAGATGTCAGCCAATGAAATAAAGGCTGGTTACATGTCCAAGATCTGAAAGAAACTCGGGAAGGGCTAATAAGAATCAGACTAGGATTCTAAAATAAATATAATGTGCACTACATTCTTTTCCCGTCTTTTGTTTTTCGTTTGAGTCTTTACTTCTGTAGGGAGAGCTGGGCTTGCTTTCTTTGTTGTTTTGCAACAAAACAAAAATTGCATTTATTTATATGGTAAAATAGGGGAATAGTAGAGAAGGGTGTATGGCCAACCTTGTTACCAGTTAATGTGCTTAGGACCATTTAAAAATCAACAAAATGTAGCAGTATTTTTTTTTTTTTTTAGTCTGCTATTGTAAATACTCTTAGAACAGTTGGGCTAAAACACTGGTTGTTGAGAAAGCAACATACTCTTGAACCAAAAGCTACATAATTCTTGTAATTCTTGTATTCAAATTTGAATAAAGGGTGCTTTAACTAAATGTTCCTGGGGGACTTTGATAAAACAAATATACAATTGACTAAATTTGACTAGTTGATGAATTATTAAATCCAAAGATGGATATATTTAGAAAGATTCCCATCAAAGCTATTTTGTGTTTGTTTATTTGTTTTTGTAAAAAGAGCCTCTTTGGTAGTTATTTGTAATCATAAAACACATGGTTATATGCTTTCTATGCTTGATGTACTTTGATAAGTGCTATGAGACATAAAAACATGAATCAGACTTATTACCAAGAGCATTTAATATTGATCACATTTAGTCAAACTATGGCAGCCTGTTTTTCTACTGCCTTCAAACTATAAATTGTATTTAGATTTTTAAAGGACTATAAATAAAACAAAACAAAACAAAACAAAAACCAAAGAAGACCATGGCTCTATGTGGCCAGCAAGTCCTAAAATATTTACTAACTGACCCTTTAGAGAAAAAATTTTCCAATCCCTGGTTTAGATAATATATTAACACAAACATCTAAAATACAAAGTAGAAAGTGGCGTGTGCCCATAGAAATAACGTATGGGATGGAGTTCAGAGAAGGAAAAACTGTTTCACTGGGCAGTGCTCAGGTAGGATACCTGGCATTTGAAAGGAAATTAAGAAGGTCTTTGAATATGAGGAGATGGAAGAAAATGGTATTCCAAGTAAGGGAAACAAAATAATTTAAGTTACCAACTTGGGAAAAGTGTAAGTTATATGCAGGAGATGTACTTGGCAGATAGAGCTTGGTTCTCTGCAAGCAGTGAGAAGTCTTTAAGTGCTTTTAAACAGAGGTGTGAGGCGAACAGAAATTTACTTCAGGAAGATTAAAGAAGAGAAAGAGTACAAGTGACGAGATCAGTGAAGAGATTATCCTAATAGTCAAGGACAGTACTTTTTAAAGATGGCTCTGAGATCCTGAATCTGAGGAGCGTCCCCCAACCTTTTTGGTGCCAGGGACCAGTTTCATGGAAGACAATTTTTCTACGGACCCAGCAGGGAAGGGGTGGTTTCCGGATGATTCAAGCATATTACATTTATTGTGCAGTCAAACCTCTCTGCTAATGATAATCTGTATTTGCTGCTGCTCCACTGGTTCATGGCCTGGGGATTGGGGACTGCACTACATGGCCAATGGTACCAAAAATGTAGTTTTACGTGCTCCTAGTAAGAATCTAGGTATGATTCATGTTTTCATTCCTCAAAAAATTTAACAAAGTATTCAGTGCATAGTAATCCCTTTAACCATGTGTCAAATGTTTGCAAAGAACTACCAAAGAGGCTCTTTTACAAAAGATGTTCAGTTGGACACTTAGATATAAACGTTCAACACACAGTTGAAAACACAGATCAGGAACTAAACGGGGAGTTCAAAACTGCAGATTTAGATTTCAGGACCACCTACCTAGAAGTACTAGATAAAACCTGGAAATTGTTGAAAAAGCAAGTGAAGATCAAAGAAAGAAATAGACAAGTCTTAAGTGGTCTGAGAATTGAAAGAGAAAAATATCATAAGTCAAAAGAAGAAACATTTTCAGGAAGCAGCAGGAAGTTGAAGGTATAAATGCTTCAGAGAGGTCAACAGGTGAGAATTACAGAGTGAATTGGATTTGGACTACTACAAATCCATTGGGTTTGACTACCAAAATCAGTGGAAGTAGGTCTAATGGGGAAAAAAAGTTGAGAGTCGTAAAGCATGTATTTCAGTTCTTCCTCCATCACCTATGTGCTGTGGAAACTTAAGTAAGCCATCAACATTCTCTGAGGCTCAGCTTCCTTATCACAGGGATAGTAATGCAAGGTATTTTGTATCAAGTAAAATAACATATTTTAAAGTACCCTTAATCTGTAATTTTAATGTACAGATGGCATTAGTGTTTAATAACATAGTAATATAATATTTAAAATCCATACTGTATTTAAAATAATTTTTAAAAATCTTCTTAGAGTTTTCTAGGATATCAAAATTAAAAATATACAAAAGTAGGCTTACTGAGGTCAGGAACTTTACCCATCTTGAATACCCCATAGTGAATGAACAGATGATTGAGTGAGAAGAGATATGAACCTTTATATAAAGGGGGTAATCATCTTCTAAGAAGGGAAAATAAATTTAGCAAAAGCATGACATTTTCTTTTATATAAACTAAAGTTCACTATAAATGCTGAACTATTATTATTTTTTGCTATATTTAATTAATATATTTATTTCAGAATATTATGGGAGTACAAACATTTTTGTTACATGTAATGCCTTTGCCTCATCCAAGCCAGGGCTACAAGTGTGCCTTTTCCCCATACAGTGTGCTCCACATCCATTAGTTGTGAGTTCACTTACCCCCACCCCCCATCTGATCAGCACCCAGTGAATATTACTTCCATGTGAGCACCTTAGTGATGATCACTTAGTACCAATTTGACAGTGAGTACATGTGGTGTTTGTTTTTCCATTCTTGTGATACCTCACTTCAAAGGATGGGCTCTAGCTCTATACAGGATAATATAAGATGTGTTAGTTCACCATTGTTCTTTATGGTTGAGTAGTACTCCATGGTATGCATATACCACATTGTATTAATCCACATATGTATTGATGGGCACTTGGGTTGATTCCACATGACCTGAATAACATGGTAAACAGTAAGGCCATAGTAGCCGGGAATTTCAACAGCCCCCTGACCGAACTGGACAGATCCTCCAAGCAGAAAATAAGCAAATAAACAATGGACTTAAACAGGGCTCTAGAACAAATGGGTCTAACAAACATCTATTATTATTATTTTTAAAAAAGATGTTTTAGGCACTAGCAGTGTTGATTCTCTCTCGAATGTATGTTGGTCTCATTATTTGAAATGACTTAGTAAAAAAGAAAATCTCCAAAGTTTGGGACTATTATTTTCTCCAAATCTATAACAAATTAAAACCAAATATTAATATAAATAAATCATTCTGAGCAAAAAAAGCTGGCAAAATAAAGGTAACCAGAAGTTGTAGATTTCTCAACAAACAAGCTGCTAGACAGTTTTACTATTTTGGCAGCTTTTATTTCTCAATCTGTCCATTTGAATTGGTGCCAGATCCACCCTAAAAATTAACAGGTGTTTTCAAAACGGCTAATCTTATAATCTTAATTGTTACTTGTAGAACCTCTGGCAGCAGTTCTCACATCTAACAAAGTATGTAATCCCCAACATCTACTTTACTGTTCCCAGGCCACAAAGCCTTGCTGAAGAAAATTAAAAAAAAAAAAAAGTTTGCTAATTTGGCTCATTACAAGTTCAAGTTATTCAGCTTCAAGTAGGCCTTCTGACCTTCGTGATCATACTTGTATTCATTAAATTCTTGAAAACTATGGTTACAAATCTTTTCACTTTCCTCAACCTCTTGTGTTCATGTTCCCTCACTTTCCTCCTACTTACAGAGAAAACCAAGATAATCTACCCAACGAAATCTTTGAATTTTCCCTCCACATCTCAAAAATCTCTCTTTTCTGGTCTTTCCATCTCATTAAGAAGAAAGATGTACTCCCTTTTGCTTTTGCCTGAAGTCACTTCTCTGTCTGTACCTGAAATCACATCCCCTCTTGTCTCTCCCATTTCTCTCCTTTCTCTGTTGCATCTTTAGCCTTCCTCATTATTGCTCCTTCCCCTCTATCTATAACTCTCCCAAGTCTTCAAGATTCTCTTTTCTCCTTTAGCTTCCGCCATATCTCTCCTTCCTTTGATAGATTTCCTTTTCAAAAGAGTAATCCTCACTCATTTTTCTACTTTATCTTGATCTACTTTCCTATGAACTTCTGGTATCTGGATTTTGCCTCCAAGAGTATACTGAAACAGCTGTCTGAAACATCACTAACACATTTCTAATGGCCCAACCCTATTCTCTAACCTCATCCTCTTTGGCCTTCGGTCATTTGAGATGGTTGATAGCCCCTTTCTCTATTTGCTTTAGTTACTCTGTGTTCACATCCCTCTCTGACAATTCTTCTGCCTGTGAAAGTGGCTCCTTCCTTCTGTTCCCTTAAATAGGCATTTCTCAAAGTTCTGAAGTCAACCCTCTCCATTACCTTTCACTAATCTCACTCATTCCCACAGCTTCAATGATAACTTCAAGAGGAATAACTCCCATGTCTCTATCTAAAATGTAACCTTTCTTCAAGTCATTTTTAACTGCCTGCTGGGCATCTTCCCCTTTCATGCACCTCAAATACTACTGGCTCAAACAAATCTCACAATCTTTTCCTTTCCCAAAACAGCTTTTCCTCCCCCTCATTTCCCAATCCTTTTAATTAAGCCACCATGACACTCAGTGTCTTAAGCTGTAAAGCTTAGGGTCATATTTGACTTTTCTTCTTTTAGCCTCCACATCCAGTAAGTTACCAAATTTTGTTAAAGCTACCTCCAAAATAAAGATAGAGTCAAAAAAAGATAGAGTGATGAACTTGAGCCAGAAGCCCGAAGCAAGTCACACTTATTTAAACATTAGTTTTCTTTTTTTCTAGTAAAAGCATACTAATACTGATGTTAATCATATTAATACTTTAAATACCACACTAAATCATTTTTTTGATTTCTCCTAAACAAATATGTTATCTCCAATTTCTGAACTCCAATAAGACTTTATCTGTATTTCTCTCACAGATTCTATTCTACATCCTACCACATATTCTATGTATCTATTTGTGGACATGTCTTATTTCATTTCCCCCCTCAGAGGAACTATAAGCTCCTCTGGCTTGGGAAACATGTCTTTTCCCCTTATTTCTATTTGAAGACTGTATAGTGTTCTCCCCATAGCAGGAGCTCCACAACTATAAAATTCATGAAATTGATTAATATTAATTGGATTCTATCCACTGATAGAACAAAAGTATTTCCTTAATTTCTGGATCAAGTTTTAACTAGAATGCATAAATTTTTTGAACAAAATGACAATAAATAGAGAATAAGGAAGATTAGAAACAACCAAAAATAAAAAGACTGAACAGAGACAGAAGGAAATCATAATGCGAGAAGTAGATTGAGATCATTTTAATTACAGGCAAGAGAAATAAAGATTAGACAAGCCGGGAGGTGAAAGAGGATAAAGTTGCCCTTTAGGAAGTTCAGCTTATTATAAATATTGTAATTAAACTAACATCTTCTCCTGTGAGATTTAAAAAAGCAAACAAAAAAGGAATACACCTAGATAAATAAAATGGGGAATATATCTAGACAGGATTTTCAAGATACTTTGAAAAATCAGTCAGATTGTTTTTGTTTAAAAAGCATGCAGCTTGAAATTTGTTTTATTCCTCAATAATGGAAAGAGTCAAAAGCTTAAAAATGACAATTTTTCTTCAACCCACTGCTGGGTCTTCTTCCTGAGAAACTATTTGCTTGTTTATAGTTGAATATAGCCATATTGAGGAGCTCTTACAGAGGCAGGCTCAGTTTTTTCTAATATGTTAGATACTTACATACACACTTTTAATTTTTCTCCCTTTGTAACTATAGTATGGGTAAGGAGGTGTGCAGGTGAGTATCTGGATTCTAATTCACCCCCATCATCAATGGTCCTTAATTTGCACATTTCTCTCTCCTAGTTCTGCATTGTTCAATTTCAATTCCAATTCTATGGTTTTGTAATTGAATAGTTTTGTACCAGTTAGGAACATAAGTTGAAGAATGTTGGGATCTTGTTTTGTTAGCTGCTCAATATCCAGTTCTTAGGACAATTTCTGGCACATAGTAGGCAATTGATAAATATTCATTGAATAAATGACCAAATTTCTCTGTGCTTCTGTTTTCTCACCTTTTTTTTTTAGGATTAAAAGGTATAGCATATGTAAATTTCATAGTATGGAGTATATGCTAAATAAATATTAATTTTCCTTTCCCCCATTAACTAAAGAATAAAGATTCATCCAAGATTCTCTGGCAATGTGGATTGGAATCCAAATGATTTGATATTTAAAATCTCTTTGGATATATCCCAAGCAAGAACAGCAATTCTCACATTATGAAAAAGAAAGTACTATCTAGAAATAACTCATTGAAAATCAGGGATATCAAGTGTACTATGCATCCAAGTATGCATGCATACCCCAAATTTGTGTGTGAAAGAAAGAAAAAGAGAGAGGAAGAGGAAGAAAGGGAAAGTGTAAAGTGATTGGCTTAGTGAGAGAAAGAGGTATACTCTCCTCTCCTAGGTCCTCTTTATCTCCCTCTCCCTCCCCCCACCTTTTCAGATTTGTTGCTTAAACATTTAATTCTGCTGAAGAAGGAATAGGCAACTGATTTAGCTGTAATCATATTACCATTCAATATTTACATGGATATATGAAAACTCAAGCAAATGTCCAAAGCAATCACCCCTCAACTCAGAGCCTCATAGGTTCATACAAACACACATGCACAACTAGCAGCCTGCCTAGCTAAGGAGATGTGAGAACATGATTTTTAAACAAGTTAAAAAGGGGTAAGGCATGGTGGCTGACGTCTGTAATCCTAGCACTTTGGGAGGCCAAGGCAAGAGTATTGCTTGAGGCCAGGAGTTCGAGACCAGCTTGGGCAACATAGCAAGTCCTTATCTCTACAAAAAATAGAAAAATTATCCAGGCATCATGGTGCAGGTCTGTAGTCCCAGCTACTCAGAAGGCTGAGGTGGGAGGATCACTTGAGCCCAGGACTTTGAGGTTGCAGTGAGCTATAAAGACACCACTGCACTTTAGCCCAGGCAACAGAGCAAGACTCTATCTCAAAAAAGAAAAAGAAAGAAAGAAAAATAAATAAATAAATAAATAAATAAATAAATAAGGAAGAGAGGGGATAGAAACTAGTAGAAATCTAGTCCATCCTTCCCACTCATCTAGAATAGTAGCAAGTGGTACCCTAATTTAACCCTTTACTTTCCACAGCTGAAGCAAATAATTTATTTTGTCTTGTAGGGTAGGGTAGGATTGTTGCATCATGACAGAGAAATAAAGAGCAAGTCAAAGAATTTATGCATTCCTATCTGGATCACACTGTTGCCAATTGTGAAAATAATGTCCTCATAACCTCATCATACTTCCTGTTGCAGCTAAAGAAGGTAGAGGTATGTATGTGTGTGTAAATGTGTGTGTGTCAAGGAAGGCTTACTACTGTGGAAAAAGGTTTTCTTAATTTTCTCCTCAATGTTAGACACAGAATAATATCCTAGTCTGTGAAATGTAAAGTTAGGTATCTCAGTAAAAAAATATAATAATGTAATTTTCTAATCAGCTCATTTCTAGGCACAAAAGTTCACACACCATAGGCAACAAAGGTCTGGAGACATTTTTGAACTTTGACTTTGAGTTTTTATCTTCCTAGTCCATATCTCAACGGCAAATCTAAATAAAGACTTCAACTGCTGATGTAGCAGTTGATAGAGTTTTTATGTGAAGCCTCTGAAAGAACTTTGCCCCTTTTCTTTTGGTTCAAAGTGCATAAAAATTCTCTGTAGCATAAGGGTGGAGCTATACAAGTAGAAAGCCTTTATAATCTAGGAATTTCCAAGCTGCTTGGAGCTGTTGCAATAATGAGTCAGAATGTATGGACACATGGTTGTTTGGAATTAAAGATGGCATTTTTTATACTAATGGTTAGAAATTCACTTTATAACTGTAGGAAAGTTCAACAATATGATATTAAAGATCTGATAACTGACTCACTCTTCTTGTTTAAGCTAACAACTTCTAAGAAATTATATGTTGGGGAAAGAGTTTGCATCTTACCTGTTCAGGATTTTGTACTATGTATCTCCTAATAGTGGTCTGTGGATATGTAGTGACTTTCACTGTTGGGGACTGGAGTTCCTGTGAAGAAAAGATAAAAGCTGCATATAATCATAATTATTTAGTGACCTTGGAGCCATCAATAATAATAGGGAACAATTTTCAGAGTAAAATTTTTAGAGTCATTTTCATGAATGATGCTGTATGATTTTATGATTTATTTAATTTCAGTTTCAGAAACATACAAAAATGTGTCATGTGCTCAGCACTTTGCTGGATACTTGTATTATATTCATTTCATGGTTTTTCATCCCACTTTCTAAACTGTATTTGATGAGAGTTTCAAAATATCTCATTGTAAATGTCACCACGTGATTAAAAGAAAATATAGTTTAATATTGATTAATTAAATCTTTAGTTTGGAAAGAACACCTTATATTTTTAAAAAATAAGAAGAGGTACAAAGAGAAAAAGGTATATGTGTACTTAAACATTTAAATCTTCAATGTATTGGAAGGAGAAGGCCATAGATAACATTAAAACTGAGACAAAGCACTAGAACAAAGTTATTTGTAAACTTTGTAAACAAGCCCTCCATAGGATTCTAATACATAGTCAATTTTGAGAGCCACTAGACTAAGGTTGCACAAATGGCAAAACCTGGGACTAGAATCCACACTCTGAGAACCATTTTTCCTTAGGCAAACCACTTAATCTTTCAATATTATATGTGTGATGTCAGACAAATTATTTAGGATTTTTCAGACAAATTGAATGAATTATCAAATATTTGCATCTTTTTAAAAATTTTTTCATTTAGACGCATTGCCTTCTGTCACTTAGGCTGGAGTGCAGTGGCTCGATCATAGCTCACTGCTGCCTCTAACTCCTGGGCTCAAGCAATCCCCCCACCTTAGCCTCCCAAGTAGCTATGATTTACAGGCATGTACCACCATGCCCAGCTAATGTTTTTAATTTTTTTTGCATAGATGAGGCCTTGCTTTCTTGACCATACTGGTATCAAACTTTTGGCCTTAAATGATCCTCCCACCTTGGTTTCCCAAAATGCTAGGATTACAAGAATGAGCCACCATGCCTGGCCTATTTGCAAACTTTTGATGAAAAAATAGTATATATCATCAATAAATAAGACAGCTCTTATGTATCAATGAGAAAAAAAATCTTTACACTAAAGGAAAAATGATGTGAACAATTTATAAAAGAAGAAAAGCAGCTGATTAATAAACTTAACAAAAAGTGTTCAACCAAACTAGGAATCAAAAAAATGTAACAAAAGAATGCCATATTTGTATTGGAAAATTATAAAAAATAATAGCACTGATGAGGGTGCAGTAAGAAAGGTACTCTCCTATGGAGAGGAGAAAAATTATATAATCATCCATAGGTTGAAATATGTAGCCATAGTAATATAAATTTATTTGAAAAACGCTCATGATGTCATGTAAATGTAAGTGAGAAAATTAGGATATAATACTGTATATATGGTATGATTTCAATTTTATATTTGAATGAAAGAAAACACAACAAAACATTAAGAGTAGTATCTCTGGATGGGGGAGAGAGTCAGGAGTGATTTTTGTTTTTGCTTCATTATATTATTTTATACTTCTAAAATTTTCTACAATAAACACATATTTTTAATATCAGAAATAATATGTATGGTAAACCCAATTTTAAAGCCTGCCATGAAAAATAACATAGTTAATAGTTTCCTGACTGAATTTGAGTGTAGTGAACACCCCTGTGATTTTAGTGGACTTACTTTTTGAGGCAATCATACCTTGGTGGTCCTCCCTTGGTTTCATATTCCTTTGATTGGCTGATCTGATTCTCATATGTAAGAATCCACTTTCTTATTTATTTTGTGGTCCTGACATTATGTGAATGTGTAGTCTTACGAGGACCTGAAGATTGCTGAAGATTCCTGAAGATTCCATATCCATATATGTATATGGAAAAGATTTACACAAAAAGAAGAGAAACAAATCTAATCTAATCAATTTCTAAGTCAATCATAGCCTTTATTCCACTGCTGCATGGTTTGTTATGCATGTGACCCATGCTGTTCTATGAGCTCCTTAATAATAGTGATTGGGTCTAATCCACCCTTGTGCAATATTTGGCACATACTTGGCACTCAGCAAATGTTAGCTGGATAAGTGCTTCACTAATTGACCTAGCTGTAGTCTAGGCCAAATTGGGAAGTGGTAGGGAAACTTTCCTTTGATAATCTTTTTATTTGTTCTTCATTATATCACATTTTTTCTTACTGTATTCAAGGTCTAGAGATCACCTTTTATCCATTTTCTCCTCACTGTCCAAATTCACACCCTGATACCTCATATAGTGCAGACTCTTTTCTTAAAACAGCATCTCTCTCCATCCTATCCTCTACATCTCATACCCCCTATACTCCTCTCCCATGTAACTGGTGTGTTTTATGTTTCATTTTCTTAGAATTTACTTCTTGACATATGGCATCAAATTAAACACATATTTTAATATGTTATTTAATTATTATTGTAGATACTTTTTGGATACACAATGCGTAATTCAAGAATAATCCTAAAAGTGGGATTATTAGGCTTTAAAGGCTAAGGAAGTTAGAACCTTGTGTGTCTTTCAAATCATAACTTATGGGAAGGGCTAATTCTGACCCTATAAATTATTCTCTCTGAATATAAACATATAGTACTAACACTCACAAAGTAAAGCCCTCAATTCATTCAAGATGTAGATATTTTATTTGTGCTTCAATCAAGGACCCTTAAAATATCCATAACACTAGGAGATCTTTGGCTGAAATTAAACTGTACTCAAACTAAAAACAATTGGATGAGTAGGCAATGAAACTGAAGAATTTCATTCACAGCACTTGTTTCACATTCCTTTGATAGGTTGAGCTGATTCTCATATGTAAGTATCTCCTTTCTTATTTTATGGTGTTGACATTGTGTGAATGTGTAAAGTATTATTCTTATGAGGGTCTAAAGATTGCTTACATATATAAATAAGATTTACATAAGACGAAAAACAAATCTAATCTAACTGATAACTTTTACCTGTTCAGTATTATGGGTTATATGTAGAGCATTTGGGGCACAAGTAGATAGTTTTGGAGTTGGAGAATGGAGTTCCTGTTAAGAGAAACAAAAGAGAGTTCAGAAATTGAAAGTCTTCCGTTAGTACCAAGGCTTGGGCAAGGCAAATGCATTACATGTAACCAAAATGTTTGTACCCCCATAATATCATGAAATAAAAAAAAATACACAAAGGAGTATCATTAAGCCATAAAAGAAATTGAATGTCTTAAGTTCTTGAGGTATTATTTCCTTTATTTTTATATTGACCCGATTAGTTAGAAATAAGAGCATTACTTAGTGCTCTCTTAGGTCATGTCCATCTTTCCAAGGAACTAAATTACTTTGTCAGCTTTGCAAGTAACCTAATGAAAAAAGAGTTTCTACAGTGCTTTCATAGCAATACATTCTCCATGTACTGTTAGGTTGCATTCTTTTTTTTTTCTTTTCAGCATATTATGGGGGTACAATGTTTAGGTTACATATATTGCCTTTTCCCTGCCCCAGTCAGAGCTTCAAGCTTGTCCATCCCCCAGATGGTGTGCATCACACCGACTAGGTGTGAATATACTCATCCCCTTCTCCCCACTCCCACGTGCCTGACACCCAGTGAAAGTTACTACTATATGTGCACATAAGTGTTGATCAATTAATACCAATTTGCTGGTGAGTGCATGTGGTGCTTGTTTTATCCATTCTTGGGATACTTCACTTAGTAGTATGGGCTCCAGCTCTTTCTAGGAAAATGCAAGAGGTGCTATGTCACCATTGTTTCTTATAGCTGAATAGTACTCCATGGTATACATATACCACATTTTATTAATCCACTCATGTATTGATGGTAGCAATCTTTTTATTTATCCTTTGAGAACTCCACTAATACATACCCCAGTGTTATTATATATTAATATTTGCAATTAACAAGATGTAAAATTGTATCAAACAAGAATATTAAATCTAAAAATTCTCAAACCAATATAAGAAACTACCTGAGTCGATTAATAAAATGTGTTATATGTATACCATGGAGTACTATGCAGCTTTAAGAAACAATGGTGATATAGCACTTCTTGTATTTTCCTGGATAGAGCTGGAGCCCATTCTACTAAGTGAAGTATCCCAAGAATGGAAAAATAAGCACCACATGTACTCACCAGCAAATTGGTATTAACTGATCAACACCTAAGTAGACATATAGGAATAACATTTATCGGGTGTAGGGCAGGTGGGAGGGGGAGGAGGGGATAGGTAAATAAATACATAATGAGTGAGATGTGCACCATCTGGGGGATGGTCACACTTGAAACTCTGACTCGAGAGGGGAGAGGGGGCATGGGCAATAAACGTAACCTTAACATTTGTACCCCCATAATATGCTGAAATAAAAAAACAACCTCAACTAAGATTATTGCCCTTAGAATACTTCAAGCTGACTCTTAGTTATGCTTTGTCTCATCTGCTTCTAGTTTAATTTCAAAGAGTAGGCTCTGCTATTAAAAATGATCTAAAAAAATGAGACAATATGATTTTTAATAATGATCAGATAAAATTGTCACTCTATCCATTATGCTGGCCTTGTTTATATTTTTCCCAAATCAGCAAAACTGCATAGCTTTATCAGTGTGCAAAGAGTTGATAATAGTACTCAAGCTCCCTATATCTCACTATAATTTACAATCAATAGGCACAATTCCATGGATATTTTCCCACAAAGGTATAATGTTATTTTCTTTAGAATAAGGGGATTATTTACAAAATTAGGTAAGATGGTCTGAGTAAATGCCCAAAATGAACAAAATCTTGATGATGGAAGGTACTTTCAGTGGCATCAAGTTCTAGTCAGGATTATAGTAGTCATCCCACAAATAGCCGTTGCCTGTTCCATAGGAATTAATCCAAATGTTTTTGAATGAATGAATGAATGAAGAGGATGCCTTACTTTTAAAGGTACCCCCAAAATAAGAATCTAAACCTTCCTCTTAATAATCTATATTATTCAATTTTTAATTTTCAGTGTCATTGATCTATATGTGGCTTACCTTAACCTTCATATTGAAATCATTAAATTCAATAAATAGTTACTTTTTTTTTGTTCTTATGCCCTCTGTGCCACAGGCCCACATTCTGGATAATCAATTAATTAAAGTTGGGGATGGGGTGGTGGCAGCTATTATGATATAGTGGAAAGAGTTCTGGACTTAGGAATGAGGAGCCCTGAGTTGTGCTGCTGGTTATACTCTTAGCCAGATGTGTGATACTGGACAACTCATGTCATCTGTCTAAGATTAGTTTCCTCCTGTGAGATATTGGGTGGGGATGTGGGTAAGTATGAATTAGATCTATTTATGATATTCTGTGAATATAGGAGATCATTCCCATCTTATTTTTCCATACAGACAAAAAGTGTCAAATCTTTAAACTTGTCAGTCTTGTTTTCCTTTAATGATGATGATGATAATGATGATGATGATAACTAACACCTACTGAGGACTTATATACCAAACACATTACATAGATCACCCTATTTAACACTCAAAACAACCTCATAAGGAAGATATTATTACAACCCCATTATTCACATTAGTAAAGTTAGACAGAGATACGTTAAGTAACTAGATGAATATCACATAGCTAATACTAAGGTGCTAGATCCCAGCTCAGGTTGCCTGATTCCAGAACTCACACTCTTATTCTCTATACTTTGCCACATGTATAGCTTGCCTCATTATATGTTCTGTTTGTCAAGTTGTATAACCTCATTATATGATTAGGTTCAACTAGTCCTTATAATAGGAGGCTAGATATTGGTCTTTTTATTATTTACTGTCAAAAGAAACTCTCGGATGCCTGAAAACAAGGGACCCACCCAAAAGTGACTGTGTGAGAGAATAGCCCTAATTAGATAATTTAAGATTCTCTAAACTCAGTAGAGGTTGCTTATAGAGAGTGCATGATATATTTATAGAATGCATTCACAGGCCTTTAAACTCAATAAAACATTGAATTTTTTTTAGTACTTCTATCATCCAAGCCCTTCAATTTATCAGGAAAACCTTACTTTTCTAATAAAATATTCAGCATATTATTGAGTCATTTATTCCTGTGGCTCAGACCTGCATAAACATTATACTTTGTTGCTAACTTTCTTTAGGTAGAGTTCTGGTGAAAACACATTTTTTTTTTTATAATTATGTGGGCTCAGGCCCAGTGTAAAATCCAGGCCTGTTTTTCCTACATTGCTTCAAGTAATGATTTTCAGCTTCGGTAAAGTCATAACAGATCTCCTCCTCCTCCTCCTTTACTTTTTATGAAGTACATATGGTGTTACCAATTTTAATATCTGAGTGGATTAAAATCAGTCTACTTTTTGGGATACTTTCATTGCAACACTTAAGATAATTGGCCATACTTTAGTATACCCTAAATCAGAGCTGGGAAACTCTGGTTTCCCTAGGAAATTAACTATTTGCAAAAATGTATCTTATTTTCAACTGTTTGTTTTTCAGAGTTAAATCAGATGAAGTTCAAGTGCCCCAAATTTCTGTTATTTATCTTAGTGGAATTGCTTTTGAGTGGTTCAGTGCAATGGAAAAAGGATGGAAAGCAGAAGCTGGAGAGGTATTGTTCTCCTTTATTTATTTTTATGAAAACATTAACAACTTAGGCTATACCCTGAATTCCAGGATTATTTTAGAGCAAGACCTTGAATAGAAACTATTTTTGTCCTCTCATATATTTTTGATACTTTCCATATTGATGAAAGAACATTAAAATGGGAAAAATACAGTAAGGGTAATCATCAAATAATGTGCTGAATTCAAAAAATATAAACCTGTTTGAACTGAGAACACTTGAGTATCTAACTAAGGTTAATTAAGGTAGACAGCTGATGTAATGAAAATATCAGGAGATGGCTTCTAAATTCATGGCATTCATTAACTAGCTGTGCTCACTTGGACAAGTTATTTGGAGCTATTTGAGCCTCAGTTTCTTTATTTGTTTAACAGACAAATATTACACAATGCATACCGTCTTTATCTGTATACTGTATGACTTGTACAATAAGCATAATAATATTTTTATACCTAATTTTGGAGTGCTAGTGAGTAAATAAACGTATATGAAAGAGTTTTTAAAAATAAAAAATCATCTATTAATATGAAAAATTATTTTTACTGGATTGGTTATATATATGGCTAAGTTATTAACTTGCACTTTGTTCACTATGACATAATCGCATTGGGAAAGGTATAAAGGGTGGATAGAGTACAATCACTATCTTCACTAAGATTATACTCAGGGAATAAAAACTATGATTAAAAACAAGAATTAAGTAGACTATCATAAGAACTATAAGGAGTTTACTAGATGAGTTTTGAGGTCTAAGAGATAATTTCAACCTGGGACAATCTGAGACTTGATCACAAAGTTACAATTGAGGAAGGTCTTGAAAATTGGTATAACTTCAGCATGTCTAGATTGGTTAGGGAGGAGGATAGGGCATTTCATATGTAAAAGCAACTGAGTAAAAGAGTTGTGTAAAGTTGGGGGCTATATTTAGAGAACAATGACTTACATTTTGGCTGAAACATAAGACCCTATAAAGAGAGTTCCAGGAAGTAAGGTCCATAGCAGTCAGATCATGCAGGGCTTTGAAAGTCAGATTAAAAAATTTATAGACACTTAGAAGGATTTTGTGGAAGAGGAGTGATATGAGGTGTTTGTAGAGAACTTAAGCAACTTTTCTAGAGAACATATTCTTAGGTATAATTAGGTTTGTGAAGATTTAAAAAAAAATTTATGCAGGAACCAATACATCCAAGTTGAAGTTTATGTTAGAAGAGAAATAGATAAATACTATACTTGAGATAAAAATCATTCCTTGGAAAGTTCTAAATGTGTTTTGGTGTGTGAATGAGTATTAAACAGAAGCACAGGTTGAGTATCCCTAATCTGAAAATCTGAAATCTAAAATGCTCCAAAATCCAAAATGTTTTTAGCGCCAACATGACACCACAAGTGGAAAATTCTATGTTTGCTCTCATGTGGCAGGTTGC